TTTATTCGTAGATAAAAAAATTTCGTCGTATTTATGCTCGGTGGTAATTTATTTCGGTTGGACGGTTTTTTTCTTTTGGATCCGTGGGTCGTCTGATGATGGATCAGTATTATCGTCGTTTGTCGCGGCTAAACGATAGATCAATACCCTAAGTGATTATATTTTTTACGTAACCTAAGTAATTTATTTGGATAAATTAGTTTAGGTATAATTTATTTAACGCTCACCGCGAAACAAACGGCAGACTTTTACGCCCCCCTCGATATTCGTGATCGACTAAAAGTATTTTAATCGAAGACAATTGTAACATTCGCTTGTGGATGTCTAATTGATTACATTGACCAATGATCGGAAGGAACATTGTAAATGTGCTCAGTGTTGTCTGTATATATTTGTGTGAGTGTATCTAAATATTTGGGAGAAATGAAATAAATGAATGCCTTTACTTCTGTGCAACGTAAACGTTCCCTTTTCTTTTTCTTTCGACGTTTCGAAGAAAACTATTTAATTTTATTAAGTACCTTTTCTCTTCTCCCGCACAATGAAACATCGTGAATCGTTTAGTTTCACCGTGATGCTCCTTCTGTGGTGAAGAAGATGAAGAAGGTGTGCCCCATCGGTGGTACATGATTTGCACAGTCATTTACAGCAAAACGCCCAAGTTTGCGAGGAATAGTTCGTTATTTTCAACGCTAGATGGCGCTTATTTTTCGACCTTATAGCTCTTTTATGTGGTTTTCACAATATTTATTTTCAACAATAATTAACAGTAACAATCAACAATTAACAGTAATAGCGAACTTTGTCTACAAAACACGTGTGCGCGGGTCGAGAGCTAATAACGGAAGGCAGTACTCAATTGTTTTTGATGATTGACTCGACTGTTTTAAAGAAGAACAACGGCATCGTGTGCAGCGCCAAAGCTACGGACGTTGGCCACAAGGTCGGAAAATGAGCGCCATCTAGCGTTGAAAATGACAAACTATTCCAAGATAAACTTGGTACAAATCATGTACCACCGATGGGGCATACTTTCTTCAACTTATGCACAAGGAGCATCACGGACAAACTAAACGGACATTTAAGTGGGCAAAAATGCAGTCGCTTCTATAGACACTACTGTGGTTATTATAATAATAATCTCAATAAGTCTAAAGATAATGTGTATTATGCTCGATGTGTTTTGAAACCGTGTATTTACTCAAAGAAACGTAGGGACTAGTAATACGTGTTGCAGTGTCAAGCATGGGTCACCGGTGTTTTCATGAATAATTAGACAGTATTTATTAATTAGACTAACGTACATGTAGTCTCAAGTTAATGTGTATTACGGTTGACGGGAAGTGAAAAGTACAGAGTATAGTCACAGAGTAATATTGGTAAATAAAGAAGTATATAAAAAATATAAATATATTAAAGTAATATTAGATTTTGCCAAAAATATAATAGAGATTTCTAACCATAAGAAGAATATATTTACGTTTTATAGGCAACTAATATCTTTTATATGAATGGACCACAAGTGTTTTGTATTTTTATTAATACAACACACTCGTACAAAACGTGTACAAACGTTTATATTCAATCTTGTTCTATAGTAAGCTCAGACACATCAGGTAAAGAAATTATTTTCAATGTCTTTTCATTTGTTAAATGTAATAAAGACAGAAAGGCAATTGGATGGCTTAATTCCTTACTATTAGCTTCTGTTAATACATTTGGTAGTTCTTTATAAACTCCACTATCTCTTGTCATCCGTTTTATCACAAACATTTTGCTGTACATTTTCATTCGACGCTCGTGCATTTGCAAGTTCTTCGTTATCGTCTGTAGTTAAGCATTTCCAAATGGATTTTTTCAATTGTCTCGTATTAATCATTTTATAACGGAATAATTAATAGATGACTTATTTGTTAGTTTGGGAGCAGTGATGAAATTGTTTCTGATAAAAGGCTGTACTTCTGTCATATTTTGATCTTCAGGTCTAATAACATTATCAATTAGACATTTAAATATTGTATTTGGTAAACAGGTAATAATAAAATTTAACAATAAAATAATAAAATTTCACCCAATCTTGTATGCATAGCCATTCCATAAATGTGTAGGTGATATAAGGAAATTACTAAATATTCGTAACAATACTCTTTCAACTCACTATCGTGACGCAATACACATATTAGTCACTAGGCAGAAGAGTAGTATATATTATTACCCGTACAAATGGCGCAACACTCGTGTCGCCAACCTATGGTAACTAGATCATGAACATAGAGCGTTCATAAACTATACAGAAAACAGGCTAGGAACTTACTCTGTCACCGCAAATGTAAACATTTTCAAAATATTTATTAACTTATCGTTACTATACGTTATTCCTGTCGATTAATTCGTACGCGATTGAATGTTATTGCTTTTGTTGACTATGCAATAATTAAGTATTTCTAAAGAACGCTGATTCGCCCACGTTTAATCTTATACAACAGCGATGTACATTACAAGACGCTGGTTCGTTTCAATTCGCTCCGAATTTTAATGGAGTTACATGATCGCGCATTTAATGGTCATTAATCGAGTTCCCATTATTTCCCTTCGCAGCGCCATATGTACTAAACCTAAATTTACGCGATATCGTAACAGTAACAGTTGATCGCGTTTTTATAGCCGGCGTTGATAATCTTTTGCTTAGTCGGCGAAAATTAATTTAGTCCATCGCGCAGAACGTAGCAGTGCTAACAACACAACGCAACGAAATATGTAACCTCAGAAATGTGAGCTTCCGAAATCGTCCGGTAGAGTGCACCGAATGTCGATCGATTTTCGCAAGTTCTTTCAAGTAAATCTCGAACGATCTTAAATACTACATAAATTTCCACGTAATACGGTTAATTTCACGAGAATAGTTCGTATCGATACGCGACGTTTAATTTGTTCGGTTTATTGTGCACGAAATTGAACTTCAAAGAACGACGTATCACAAGCACCAACCTGATATTTTCAATCATTAAAACATGACAATTAAGCTGCCCCTTCCCTTCGCCTTCGATGGCTTCGGGGATTGCGTAACACAAATCGAACGAATCCTATTTAAGAGTTTGTCGTTCTGTTTTAATGGTCGACTATGTTCATAGTATACTTGTTGCACACACGCGGCTAGTTGGTTTAGTGGTCGGTTGAGGAGAGAAGAAAGGGGACAGTGACGGCTGTCCAAGGGTTCTTCCTCTTACGTTTTCGTTGGACTTCGCGAGCTTTCCGCAAGCTGGTGAGCGCGTCCCGATCAATTAGCATATGCCACTTCCTAGCGGGAATTTCGTTTCACTGATCGAATAAAGGTAATTACATGACAGTACGTATATATTTCTATCATCCGGCAGACCGCTATCGAATTTCGCATGCTGAGAAAAACCGACCGGGTCCGGAGCCAAATCTTGACATATCGTTTTTTTTATTTTAAAGTAAGAGGCTGCCTTTCTAACCTAAATTCTATATTCTGTTACGGGGCGCGTATTAGCGGGGCAGGGTAAAGGAGGGCGACAACCATGGATCTCTTTCTCTTTTTGACAGCTAAAAATACAGTTTTTCATGGTGCGTACGCGAAATCGAACACATTTACTATTCCGGTTATGATACACCGAGCACACATTTTAAATCGTTTACGTTCCATTCGCTTTCGCGGAATAGATGTTTTTTTCGTTGTTTATCGAATTATACGGCCATTCACAAACTGCAATTAATTATGTCTGTACCGTTGACTTTAATCACCATACTCGGTGAACATATTCGTTGTTTACCCGCGATACCTTCTGCTTTACACTTACATATATGGTAGTACTTAAATCACGATAAAATGAATATATGTATCTACTTTTTAAACAAGGATATATGGTATGGCAATAAATGAAATAAGTTTCCAAGATACGGACATATTTTTATGTACGTTTTTAGTTGTAAATTTCTTTCTTTAACATCGAGTTAAACGTCATTAATCTATAACATGATATTAATGTCGACTTAAATAAAAAATGTTAATACATAGTAGGGCTTTACAAATATGGTAATTATCAAGTTTATGAATTTTATTTTACACGATTTGATATATTTACATTAATTTTACAATTGGAATAATTTTCTGACAGAAATTTGCTAACAAATTCAGTGCAAAGAGTAATTTTACTTTCTGTTATATTTTCTATTGCAAAAACATTCATATTCCTGAGAGCAGAATTAATCACTATTTAAATTTAGATCAATTGCTAATATAGTAGTTCACAATCGTGTCATTTTATCTGTAATATTTTTACAATATTACCTGTAACTTTTTCATCTGTAGCCGATTTCTCTGTAACTGATATCTTTCAGATATTATTTTATCTGTAACTGATATCTCTGTTGATCCAAATTTAATCGTACATATTTTTTATAAATAGGAACTCGGTGATATTTTTAGTATCTTCTTGTAACAAAAGTTTTATATTATAATACGGCAACAGTACTTTTTTATACTTCTTTAAGATTATTGTTATGAAATATGTTTCTCGTAATTATTTTTAGAAATGAATAAACTAACATTGAAAACAATGTTTCAAAAATGATAATATACTATTGGACTTTAAAGGTGCATGTCATAAAGCTTATCTATCATTCGTGCATAATGTAAAACATATAATGTTTCTACAAAAGTGCAATTTACAACTTATTCGCTGAAATGGAGTCGTATTTCATTAAATTTATGCATTCAATCGGTAATTTCCTCTTTAAATAACTCAATGACATTGTCCGCTATCGTTGGATTCATTATCACTAAAATTGTTAGCTAGATAAGTATTTCCTTTTTAGCATAATATTCTACCAGTCATTTGATATAATGGCTTTCAAACAATCAACCGTCTATTGTAATATGTAATGTAGATTTTGTTAAATGATATATGTATAATTCGTCGACATATAACAAAAATCATGTGTCATTGTATTAAATGGGAATTTTTTATTTTATTTTACAGAGAACTCAATATGTCGCATCATTTTGTCACAGTTTGTGTGGTATGTGTTTTATGTGCTACGCATACTCCTTGCTCGGCGCACACCGAATTTTCAACAACAGGGCAGGCGACTCGTATTTCTGTGAACTCCGAAAACTTACGAAATCCTAATAAACAATTACAGCCATTTCGGTTACTAATAAAATTGAAAGAAACACAGCAGAAGGATATGAGAAAACCAAATTTAAATAATCTAGGTGCTCATAAAAATGGTGCTGTTAAATTTTCTAATGTATTAGACATTGATAATACTAATAAAACGTCTACCTTGTTGGTACCAGTTGCTATAAACAAGCCCCATATTAAAAGAAAAACTTATAATACGAAAGGTAATAAAAATGTTCAAGATGATCGTATTCCGGTAATAGAGGAAAATTCTACATCTTTGAAAGATTTAGAAATAATAGAGAGACTAGGCCAAAATGAAATAAGTCGCAACACAGAATTGAATTTTATAAGATCTGTTAAAGATCAAAATCTTATCAATGGTGTTAGGAGAAAAAGAAATGTTGATATAATAGATGAGAAGTACTTCATAACAAAAATTTTCGAAACTTATGGCGATGGTAAAAGTGTAACGGTGGAAGGTTTCGAGAAGCTACTAAGGAAGCTGGGATTGCTGAGATTATTAACAGATATATCTAGAATAGATGATCATAGTATTGTTACTAGTCAACACGAAAATCCATTAGGTAAGTTTTTACATTTACATTTATTTTACTCATTCACCTTCTAACAATGACGTCTAAAATAAATACAATGTCCTATAGTTCAAAATTTACCAAAGTTAGTATAGGCCAGATAAAAAAAAACATATTTTGTTTCAATGGGCAGATGTAACAATTTCTGAATTTGCATTTTCATATACCTAGTTCACATTTAAGAATTTGTAGTTGGCTATTTTTAGTTAGTGGGTCATTTATGATGACACACTATCAGATGACCAAAAAAATTGCAAAATAGCAACGAAATTTATTTAAAAAAGAAACTAATCATTATTGTAATAGGTTTGTAATTTCTAACTATCACACAAAAGCAAAATATATTTAATTTTCATATTTAGAGTGCAACATCTGTTTTAACATATTGTAGAACAAAATAACAAGAAAGTGCTTAAAAGAATTTACTTCCATCTTGAAATAAATGACTCTACTTATGCATGAATCTTTTTTTACATTGGAAACATTTTTTGATGATTTGAACTTTTGCACTTTTTTCATGACGAGTATACTGGTCAGAAACAGTTAACTGGTTAATCTTAGAACAAAGAGTAATCGTACTTTTTATTATTAAAACATACATTCCTGAGATTAGAATTAATCACTATCCAGATTAAGATCAATTGCTAATACGGTAAATCACAATCATGTTATGACAATCTTATCTCTGTAATTGATATCTTCATTGATTCAAATTTAATCATACATACTTCTAATAAATAGAAATTTGGTAATATTTTTAGAATCTTCATGCAATAAGAGTTTCATTTTTAAACAGAACAAGTGCACTTTACTATATTTCCTTAAAATTATTATTATTGAATATACTTCTCATATTTATTTAAAAAAATGTATGAATTAATATTGGAAATAGTAATACAGAAATAATAATGCACTGTTTGTAATAAAATTACAAGTTTCATAGTTACTGACATCTTGATTTTGTTTATGTATTTTGTATATTAGAAACAATTTCAAGTTTCTATTAAAAAGTTAATTAGGAAGTACATCATTTCGCTTAAAAATAAATGGATGACTTAAAAATGTGTTTAAAGCATTGATCAGAAATTGCAGAAACGTCGTTAAACTATGTCCTTCGTAAACCAAATAACTTTTGTCTCGAACATTTTTTTCCATCTTCAAATATAAATAAGTTATCTAGATGACCTATTTAAAATGTTCTATCTTGTATATCTGCACGATAATACATATGTATTTCAAGATCAATTGTATATCTGATACGGGCATACCATTTCTAATTACCAATTAACAACTGTCAATCATAATAAATATAAATCTACATCTGTTTTAATATGTGTAACAGTCTAATAACATTTTTAATTTGATTCAATCTGGGAATCATCTTGATAATAATAATTTAACTTGAATTGAAGGTTCAGACTTCTGTTTAATTGATCCATTAAGTTACTTATTGATTTCATTGAACTGCTATTCGGATCTCTATTAAAATATGTTCACAGTACCTTTACAAAGAAATAATTGGATATAAGAAAGAATAAACAAAATTTGATACTGTCCTTGTTGATTGCAAAGAGACTGCAGCACTGAAATAATTATATCTTACGTAACATTATCCTCCATGCAGATAGTTGGAATTTATCTGCTACGTATAACAGCATGCTACATATACAGTTTTTGCAAGCATTGAAACTATATCAAAAGGTATCAAATGATACATTCTTAGTAATATGTTAACAGAGTTTTCTTTCGTTAAAAAGTATTTTATTTTACACGTAGATAAATAGTTAATAGTATTAATACATTGTTGTTGATAGGTACCCTGCTATGTTTTTTCCTCTATAAAGACATATCAAAAGTCTAGGAGACATATTAAATTGCTGCGGTGAACACAATTTCTATAAATAGTCTGCAGACAATGCATTTTATGTCTCTGTTCGTTAAAAATGTTATGATGCTTTTTATTCGCTATAATTACTTGAAATTGTATATTCTACATGCATTTATATATGTACATAAATTCTATTGTTATAGATAAATCAAAAAATATACAAAATAATGGCCTATCGGAATATGAAAATGAAACTAAAAAGGAACGGGTAAGATAAATTCTAATAATACAAATTACATTTTACTATTTAGATTTAGAAAAATCGAATAGATCTGTTTTCTTTTAAATCATTAAATATATTTCATAAATGACTGTCCCGCTATTTCAGTGCTTAAATAGTAGAGAATTGTTAAGTACTGTTACAAGAGATATGCCTTACACTAATAATAATTCGACATTACCAAGTTGGCTTTTTGAACGTGTGTGTCCAGCTCTTGTTTACCAATTAGCAGGTGAATCGAGTTCAGAAAGAAATGGATGCATTCTTGTGCCAGAGAATTATAAACCAGTAACAGTTAATAAATACTTTGGAGATGATGTAACACGTAATATGGTTCAAGGTATAGAATTGTAAAATGGCAGAAATAAAGTTCTAGCGTTTTGATCGTGGCGCAATGCTAAATATGTTATTGTGTTGTTTAGTGTGGGCCTATTCTACAATTAGTATTCTAATAATCAGTCTCTGTGGTTTACTTGGTGTAGCCGTTATACCTTGCATGGGTAAAGTTTATTATCATCAATTACTGCAGTTTCTAGTTGCTCTTGCTGTAGGAACTCTATGCGGTGATGCACTTATTCATTTGTTACCACATGTAAGATTTTATATTAAGGATTTAATAGTTCGCAATAACCGGCGTTGGTTAGCTCAGTATTATATTCCTGTTGCAGGCAATGACGACGCATGATCACGATCATGAACATGTTCACGATGATAATGGCAATGATCATGCCATAATAAATCATAAGGAACAACACAATATGAATATGTGGAAAGGAGTAGTTGCAATGATAGGTCTTGTATTATTTTTTTTTACGGAAAAAGCTCTGACATTGTTAGCAGAGTGGAGAAAACGTCGACAACGTCGTAATAAGGTAAACATAACATTTAAATAACAATTGAGAGGAGAAATTTAGTTTAACTATTTTACACCAAAACCACAACTAGAAATTATTATTTATAACGCGTGTATATACAGTTCAAACATGTTTTTAAATAGAGATTAAACTGTTATAATTTCAGCTTCCTTCGCGTGTTAGAGTAATGAGAGAGACAGACGGGCCGAACAGTAATGTTGTCGGGGAGAAACTTTGTAAACACAAATATTCGTCATATCCGTATTGTTACGATGAAATTAATACGGATGCTCAAGGTAGAATACTGTTTCAACTTGTTCAGAATTTTAGTAAAGCGTTTGATATTTTTTATTTTGCATTTTAAACATTGTGAAAATTAATGATTATATTTTCAATTCAGATAATCATCATAATCGTCAACATAATAATCATGAAAGACCCCCTGTCATCGAAGAGGAGAAACCTTTGACGTCAAACTGTAATTCGGTTTCGAAAATTATGACGAATGACGTGGAGAAAAAATCACACGAGGATTGGAGATTAGAAGATACAATTGTAAATACTAAGAAAAATACAGATGGTGCTGACGTACCGCTAAACAAATCAGAAAGTTACACTGTTATTATACGCGAGCATGAAACAAAACACCACGGCCATACTCATTCACATGGTATAATCGAGTGATATACGATGATTTTATTATTTTCAATGATTATGGGATATAATGCTTGAATTTCTTTAGGTCATGTCCATTCTGCGCCAGAATCTATGTCGAGTGTTGCTTGGATGGTAATAATGGGCGATGGTTTGCATAATTTTACAGATGGTATGGCTATAGGTGCTGCTTTCTCGGCAAACATTGCAGGTGGTTTTTCTACAGCAATAGCAGTATTTTGCCACGAATTACCTCATGAAATAGGTACATTATACTAAGTATATAAATATATACAAATTCTAGAATGCCATACTTTCGGGTTTAGTGAACTAGCAGTTTCTATGCTTCTCTAACAAGTTATTAATTTCTTTGGAATACGGAAGATATAAACATTAAAAACTCAAACATTTTTTAAACTTATTCAGTATACCATTTTGTTTAAAACTTAGTAGAATAGAATCTATAAATTTGAATTTAAATATTGGAGAGGGTACAACTAACGATAAGCTCCGTTGGATCCCAAAGTGATGTACCTAAAAATGAAGTACAGTGTTCTAGGATTAAATAGTAAATATTAAATATTATTCAAAGTATTGATGTACATGTGTTTAATTAAATAGGTGATTTCGCGGTCTTGTTAAAAGCTGGCATGAGTGCTAAACAGGCTGTCTTTTATAATCTGTTATCTTCCGTGCTCTGCTTATTTGGTATGATATTTGGTGTGTTACTGGGTAGCACTCCAGCTGTAAGTAGTTGGATGTTCGCGGCTGCTGCAGGAATGTTTATATATATAGCATTAGTGGACATGGTAAGTGGTACACGGTTCATAACTTTTTACCGATTTAATTTCCTGTAAGTATAAACTGATCAGCAAATATATTTTATTCAGATTCCAGAATTATCCACGAGTCACTCTGTGGAACGCAGTTCTCAATGGCAATGTATTTTACAAGCATTAGGGCTATCGTGTGGCCTTGGTATAATGTTAATTATAGCGTTCTTTGAACACGATCTTAAGAATATGTTCAGTGATTAAATTTAAAAAGACTGACAACTTTTTTAAACAATGGTAAGCTTGCAATACTTCCTAATGACCTATTTGTGGGTCGATGCCCGAGTCAATAAAACTTTATTTGTACATTCTTACCGAAACAACATTTACTTTTACTATAATACAAACAATTTATTTTTCCTTCTTCATGTGTCTAGCATAAGATTACTTGTTGACAGCAATGCACTTGTTGTTACAAAAAACTTAAGAAGGTACTACAGAGGAATAAATGCTAAATGTTTTGCAACATTTATAACATTAAGAATGTTACACTCTGTGCACAAGAACGAATGAAATAGGCAACTCGAAGAATTTTAGATAATTCAAATACAACGACAATATTTGAGGTATACTTGTTAGAAACCATTCGTGACATATTGAGTTCTTTTAAAATAATATAAAAAAGCAATATTTTACAATTCACGGAACAAAACATTACGAAGATAGGTAAATATAATTAATTTTTACTAAATAGTTTTTAATAATTTGCATACTAAGATCACATGAATTTGTGAAAATGCCATGCAGTTGTCCTAAGTTTCGTTTGGTTGTAAAATTTGGTGCTTGTATTACCAAACAGATCGTTATACAAATATTCGTTTTAGTATCAATTCAATACGAACAAAAACTAAAACACTATGCAACTACTAGTTGATCGACATCGCTTTGATTAAATTACACGCTTTTTCAATTACACGTAACTAATTCTCTAAAAGGTTTTCTGGTCTGGATAGTGAACGAATATTCATTTTATTTCTCTGTAGTTCCGGAAAGTTTTAGGCGTTAAAAATCTGTTTTTAAATTATTACCGTCCAAAAAAGTTTACAAACACCATTTTTGTATGTTGTTCCAGACCAGGAAATATCTTTCAAACATTTTAAATCTTATATTAGGAGATAACGTAAATCAAAATCTGTATTTATTTTTTAACACGTTCACACCGGCATGAGTAACGTGTAGATCAGGATATATGTATGTAATGGAGTGACATGACTCACGGGTAGGTCAGACTTGTTAAAACGTTGTCTACCATGTCAGGTAACACATAAAAGAACACACAAATGAATGATGTTATTTCATATTTCTGTCAGAATGTGAAAGGATTAACAAAATAATCGTAATCATGAAAATGATAACTATAATTTATTAAAAACATTTTAAAACATTGACTCCAATGTTGCCCATTTCCGGGTGTAGATTTTACTTACCTCATTAGCAAATTTAACGAGGACTAATAGAAATATCATGAAAGTAATAAAAGTACAGTGATGCCTTGGAAATCGACCTGAATTTTTCACCCGAAATTTGATGCCCAATATTGGGTTACGCCGCTTAATAATTAATATATAAAATCATGCACCGGATTGAACGTGTTAGTTGTTAATTGCCTGGCATTCACACGACATATATGTGTTCCTAGACTATTAGTGTCCAAGTATAATTGTGATATATTTTATATAATAACTGCATTCTCTTTATCTTAGTACAATAATCAAACAAGGCTTCAAATAAATACCTTTTGATTGAATCGCAGACACATATAATACCATAATGTATTATTGTATTATTGAAATTAACATAAAGCTCTGTATGTTTTAAGATCATTTTGAGTTGAAGTAGGTATGCGTTAGTTAAGCCGTAAAATATGAAATAAAAAAAACAAACAAACGCAATTGCATTTTATCGAGTTTACAATAATGTTTTCAAAACTTCGGTGCTCGTTTATCTCAAGTTATTTTATAATAATTATTCTTTATGTATTTGCACAAAATGTTTAATTATGATACTACAAGAAGGATGCATATACAAGATTTTATTTTAGCAATCGGTGCGAACGAAAACAATTATAAAGTAAGATGTTTACTGACAGTGCTATAGTATGTTCTAGTTTTACCTAATTCCAAATATGCTTGTGCACAAAACGATTTTGTCGAATATCAATATAGATAAATAAAGATGGTACAAAGATAATACACCATTCACAATGATTGGATATATTGAAATTTTAAGGTATTCTCATATTGTCACTGTAATTGCCAGATTCGTTTTCTTTAAATTACATTTATTTTCTAATCAGTAATTACATGTCGTACCGTAACATACGATTGAGACGTAAAATCCAAATATTTATAGCTGTAAATCTCAATATTTTTAGCCGTACTTACGTAAATTAACAAAAATTGTATACATAGCTATGGGAAAAAGTGAATTGAAAAAGTATTTTGAATTTTCTAAAATCAAGCTTCAAATAAGATTTCTATCCTCAATGTTGTATACAATAATTTTAAACCGTTGCATTTATCATGGACACAGTAGCGTAGCTAGAGGGGATGAAGGGGCGGTCCGACCCGAAAAATATTTTTATTATTGAACTTTTTTTCAACTAGATCACGATCAAAATCACCTTCCGTGATTAGTGATAATTAACTAAATGCAAAGAACTAAGTTAAGGTCTTGCAATGATAACTGTAGTATAAATAGTTCGGGACTAATGTTTTGACTCTTGGATACTCTATTATTTTAATCCTAACCGTGGTTACAGGATTTGCGTAGAATAACGAAACTTGTATATTGGATGCCAAACTGTATCTGTCTTTATTTCGGAACATGGGTTTATATACATCTGGTTTTAGATGGGGTCAAAGTGTAGATCGGCGAAACATGATGGGCCTACTTCGTAGCGACTAAGGTTTCTATTTAGTATAGATCAGCGGGATGTGATGGCCTTCGCTAAGTAGCATGGATTAGGTCTGCTGAGTGGCATAGGTCACCAGAATGTGATGACCTTGTTTCACAATTACATTGATAAGGAAAATTTCCTTGGTGAGAAGAAGTACTTGATATTAGTATTGCTAGACGCGAGAGGAATTTTTCTAAACTAAAACTTATAAAGAATTGTCAAAGATCTACTATGAGCACATTGTGATTGAGAAATTTTGCCATACTATCTATAATATAACAATTGACAGGCGAAATAGATTTCGAATGTGTCGTTAAAGGTTTCACTAGCCGAAAAGCAAGGAAAATGACATTATAAAAATTGCAGTTAATTTTCTTACTTTGAAAATAACCATGGTATCTTAATTTTGTCATTCTCCTTATTAGTTGTTCTATCTTTTTGTTCAAGAATGCTTTATGTTTATTGTGTTCTTGGGGGTGGGAGGGACATATCCAAAGACCGCCCCGGGTGATATAATTTCTAGCTACGCCATTGTATGGACATTATTCTAACGAACTTGAAAGTTCGTTGCAAATATGTATTACGTATTTTCTCTATTACTTAAAAACTGTATCATTTAAGCAACCAAATCACGGTGAAACCTCATCTACTTATTGTAAGTTACTTATGACACTTATTTTGTTTGTATATTAATATTAATGCTATGATCGATAACAATGTATTTTTTTACAGAAAATGTAAAAATTGAAAAAAAGCGTTGTATTCTTGTAAGCAAACATTTTTTCTTAAGTTGCATCTTATATTAATACTGGTGTAATTAGCTAAATGATTTGCGCTGTTTGTACAAATTCAAATGCTAAGTATAAAAATTAGTTTTCACATAGTATGTGTTTAAATGTATTTCCTAAAAAAAATTTTGTTTTTTCATCGGTAATAAGACTAGAAATAGTAAATCTGTTGATTTTATACGAGGAAATATTTTATTGTTTAAAGTTTATTATTTAAAAAAAAAAAAACGCTGTCCTTAAATGCTTTAATAAAATCCGAATTATGCTTTTATGGATAATTGCTCTAAGATAGTATATTTGTTCCTTTCTTTGCAATTATATCCTACATTCCTGATTTATTAACTTCAGCACTCGATAAATTTTACAAATATACGATTGTAAATTGATAATTTGAATTTAGGAAATTTTCATAACAAAAATCAAAAATCCTAGATACAAAATATTTACAGTTGTATATTTTGTATATGTAGAATATGTTTTCTTGACGCACCACGGCATTACAAATTTGACATTAAAAAATAAGGATATAAAGTTAAAGAAAAACGTTATAAAAAGAACAATAGGAATACGAATGAGTTTTTTTTATTTTTTAAATCAAATAGAGAACTATATTTACAAACGGAAATTATACTCTACAATAAATTTACATTAATGTATATTTTATTATCACACAATACGCGCCTCCGATATCAAATATTTCCTTCTGCGTGTAGACATTTAATAAATGAAAGTAATTAACACATTTTAAAGTGTGTTACCGGCGTTGAATCATGCAATCTCCTACAAATAAAATTATTGTAATTATGTAACGATAAACATTAACGTTCTATTAATGTTTGAAATATAGTAATGAGATTATAAAAAAGAAATGTTTTGTCATACAGAAACAGGGTCATCTCTATCGCTCATCTGGGCTGACAAACTAAACGCAGTATCCGTGCTAGCTTCGCTGTTCAAGCTTTCGTTAAACGCTGGTTTTATGTGCGCGGCATCGCTCATTTCTCTCATTAATCCAGCCATGTCATCATCCGGATCAATTTCTTGAATTTCGCCTACTACATCAATTTCCATAGACTGACTATCTGTTATTGATATTTCCGGTGGTTCAGGTTTGGATTCTTTAAACTGATTGTTACAGAATTACTATTACCATATTGTTTAACTCAATTCACGTAATATAATGGAAATAATACAGTCATTTAAAACCCTTACCTTCATCGATTCTAATTTACATTCGCTTGGTAGATTCATATGAAATACACAATTTGTATCAAAAATTACAGGTACAGGCTCGTGGCATTCTATATCTGCTCGTACTGCTCCGCATGCTTTAAATAAAACTTGATGTTGATCCTGCCAATACAGTAAGATCATTTTAATTCACATTCTTTACATTGCGATTTTGTTCATATTAAAATAGCCTTACTTTAAGAATATGTTTGCGACAATGTTTCGCGGCAGGAAGAGTTCTTTCCCCGCATTTCACTCCGCCTTCCGTAAAGATACATTTCGATACACTAGGTATTTTTTGTGTAGATCCTTCAGTCACCTACAACAAACACATAATTTTTATCCAAGTTTTTTAATTTAATCAAAACTGAATGTTACTAAAATTAAAGTAAAGTCATAGTATATTCGTTCATTACCTGTACTCTACGTTCTAATGATTTTCTGTACAGTATAGCTTCGACTCCGCTACGTCTATGGTATCGATTTAAAGCTTTCAATTTCTCGTAAATCTTTTTCTCTTTAGCAGTTTCTTTTGGTTGATCGTGTATGCTACACAATGTTTCTTTTTCTTTTTTAAGAGCGTGTAAATACTTTCGTCTTTTTTCTTTGAGCGTATATTGCAACCTCCTAAACTGTTCTATATAAAGTGACTGTAACCTGATCAGTTTTTCTCGTGCAATATATATCACCTCCTCAGCCGTAAAAATCCCGGCATGCCTTAAAAAATTAATACTAATGATTCAATAGAAATGAGTGTCTTATTTTCGCATAAAGCAGCTACGAAAGACAAGTAAGCAGTTTTGAAAGTTTCGTTCAAAACTGTCTAAGTCTTGAGTGTTATCTTTTTATCAACACTTTGAAGGCCGCTGTCGCGTGTACGTGACATCGTCAACGAACCGTTATCGGCCATTATCACGTGTACGTGATTTTATCCGATTTGTTCCGGTACAAATCTTGCGTCGTATAGTAACAGTTTATTATTTATAAAATGTTAAATGCAAGAGAAACCTCAGTTGTATCGAAATTTCGCGGTCATCAAAGTGTTAAAATAGTGTGTAATAGAAAATAAAATTTTTTAGACAGATTTGCTCAAGCCAAAGCATGCTAGCTGGTATTCTACAGAAGGACATTTATCGTAATGTATAAAATATTGTGAGCATTAGCGCACAAGCCTATCCTTACTTTAAGGGATCTTCTTGAGCGCTGTATAAACTGTCGTTATCGCTGTCGTCTAAATAACTTCCTCTTAAAGTATCGCTCACCACAGTGGGTTCAACGTCACTGTCCGAAGAACTTGCATAATCTAAAATATCGCATCCGCTTGCATTTACTCTAAACGCATCGACTTCGGCTGAAAGTAAAATTTTAGAAAAAAAACATTAATTCTCTCGATTTAAAAGATGCCCAGTGATAATTAAAATATTGTTATTTGGTCGAAACTTACTGAACGGATCTAATGCTTTGACTTTTCCGTCATCGTCTTCCGTATCTTCGGTACTCGAATCGATCGGTTTAACGTAATGACTTAAATTAAGTAAGAGCATTTCTGGTGTTTGCGGTAAAGAATGGCGCGACGTTGACTTTATGCGTGCTATTTGAGCTTTCCTTGCGTGTTCTGTACAATACCTATTGAAAATAAATTCCTACATAAAATCTGACGAATGTTGATGTATTAGTATTCGTGGCTCCCGGATGGATCTAACAAGGGAAGTCTCAGTTGTGGCCTTTACCAATTTTAACAAGATTTAACAGGTTAATAGATCCATATCATTATAGCCATAGGTGGTCAGATATATTCGTGCGATGCTCATGAATAAAATGCATGTATTTAAAATTGTACAAATAAATATTTACTTCTATCTTGATAAGAGCAATACTTGATGTGTAACATTTAAGTGTCGAACCCATTAAATATAGTCTAGACGAAACCCTATTATTGTTTATTGATAGTGATTTCTAGTAATTCGTACGATCTGATGCAAGTAAATGTAAAATATAGAAAAGCTGTGCCTTGTTAGACACAGCATCCATCTGGAAACCATGAATAACTACATTAACTATGGCTATGAAAGCTCTAAATCTCAAATGTTGTCATACTACAAGAATACATTAAATTTAAATACATTACATACGAAATATCTCTTCTATCTAACTTTGGTGCTGGGTTTTGGCATTTTCTGCCGTTAGTATTATAAACAAAGCCACATTGTTTGAATGGCGCAGTTGAATCCTCAAGAATATGTTTGGAACAATAATTATATCCTTCGAGACAAGGTTGTGTACATTCGTATGATGCATATAAACAAGCCTGTGTTTGCTTTGGTTTCTTTGTGACTGTAGTAGTCACAGGCATTGTTGTTTTTGGGATACGAAACATACCTTGCCTATGAAAAGAATAAAAATTATAACAATTATAATAGACATTTTAGTCCTCTTTTTACCGGTACAATACACTGCCGAAGTATGAATGGAAAAATGCAGGACACCCTTTATGATAGAAATTTAAAAATACGCTGTACGCGATTTACAATTTTAAATTTAGCGCGGCAGGTTACCTCGGAAATCAACATAATTACATTAATTCCGTCGCTTCGGAATAATTTACAAGTTGTTGAATATTTAATACGTAAAAAATTATGTTAAACATAAAGCGTTAAATATATTGAAATTTTTATGTACGTTTTGGAACAAAAATATCGTGGAATATGTATTTGTAACAAGTGGTAGTTCGCCGCCATTTTGTACGTGGGATGTTGAATGAAGTTTCATTGATGTATGTACGGATTTCGAAAGAATGATGCGGACATGTGATTGGTTTTAGTGAAAAATCGGAATAAAAGAAAACAAGCGGGACTTCAGAAAGCCACGAAGGATAATTTTTTAGAAACTTACCGTGATCTCTTACATCAAATCTTCCGAGAAGGAAAGACAGTGCCAACCGATTCACGTTTGTCACCGTCAACGTTCTTCTGGAAACTTCGAGAGAAAAGAAATTGTACAGTGAAACGTAAAGTACTGGCGATTGGTGCCGTAAGTCTGAAGTTCTATGCGACTAAATAATAAATACTCGATAAACAGCACTAGGTCCTTCGGTAGGACTAAGATAACGGGACGCTACTACATGGATAATATTGGCTGCGTGCACATACTACTAGCTCAACGACGATTGCGTCACTTCCGGGAATTTAAAGCTCAAAAGTTCTAATTGATAAACTACGTGATTCATACCCACCTACCGTAGACTGAAAAAGTTCAGGTAGGTTATGACGTTGGTTGTAAAGTGTTAACTAAGTTGATTTTAACGTTACGCACGCGTGTTTTGTTAACCAACGCAACGTGCTCATGATAAAGAATTGTCGATGTTTATTTAAAAGAAAAAGTACACGTTCGTTACTGGTTGACGGCGAACGCGATTACAACATTTTGTGCAACATAGCGACAAGCAATACTTAAAAAAGAGCTATCGAACGAAATGGGGTAAATTTCACGAGTACGTAAAACCGTCACATGTTAAGTATTCTCGATACATCGTTACATAAGATGCGAAAGAAATTTGTATTTGGTCATCGCGATTAAAATTACTCGATAGGTTTATTTTCAATTGGTATTAAAGTAGGGTTAACTTTTTCTTTTCTTACTTAACCAACCTCATGGCCTACCAAAAAAATTCGTAAACTCGAAGCTTCTTAATACGATAATATACGAATAAAAAGAAAGATGCACGCAGAGGATACTTCCGTGCAACAATTGACGCCTTATCGTCGATCACTTTGTGTACCTAACGCGCTATATATCGCGTTTTAAATTATAATACACCTAAGATTGAATTTTAAATTACGTGAAAAATTCACGGAAGCTGTAAAGAAAAGTTTACGTAAAAATGCAACGGTCCTTATAACAAAATCATAAAAGTATACGTAAATAAATCTTGTTACTGTGATGCACTATCGAAGAGCCGACTTTATTAATTTATTACAATTATATAGAAGTTTTGTTTTTGTAAAATATTTTAAACCAATAAAACGTCCACGAAACCGACATTTAACGGTATCACGAAGTTCCGCACGAACCTCTGTAAATTGCGACAATCTCATAAATATATGAAAGTGCTGAAGCCTTTGAAGGATTTTCTGAAGTTGATTTTTCATTTCCTGCACGATTCCAAAGCAGTGTCGCGAAGTTGGCCGCGTATCGAAACGATTCGAAGAAAAAAAAGATACCATATCCGGGATTTAAAATGGCACAACGATGCGAGATGCGAGTTATTTAACCGAAAGTAAACGAAAAGTAGGAAATTCATAAAAAAAAAAAAGAGGAGAGAGAGAATAAATGTTCGTCGTAGTAGTCGCGTGGTTGAAAAACTAAAGAGGAACTCGGTTTTCTGTCGTACGACGTGCGATTATGCTTCGCAGTGAAAAATTCAGCGAGTATGAACCTGCGGATCGAGTTTCCGGTTAGCGTAGTGACGTGAAGTTTCCAACGTGTCGCTGTTGTGCGTTGTGTGCTCGCCGCCATCGCGACCGCCGTGAAGTGCGCATCGTTAGTACCGAGTTGTGTGTACATATAAATGGCGGCTGACGAAAAATGGTACTTTACGAAAGAACAGCTTACAAACACGCCGAGCAGAAGATGCGGTATCGACGCGGATAAGGAACTGAGCTACCGGCAGCAGGCAGCGAATTTCATTCAGGATATGGGACAGCGGCTCGTGGTGTATCCTTTTTAACAAGTGCATGTTCGCGTTGCGTGTTTCTCAACCTCCCTTTCCCCCTGTCCCCATAATCGTTTTTCGCTGATTTTATGCAGTAACACATTTTTAAATTATTCCAAACGTCCGTACACATTTATGTGACTGTGTTATTCTTACATAATGGTTCTACGATTGTTCGGATCTATGAGTAAATGCGAAATACGTAACGTGTTGTAAACACGAGTGACGTGCGAAAGAGGAGGTCACGCGTCATGATTACGATTCTCCATATTGGACTTCCTTGCGTTACACCTTTTAGTGCATGATGAATTTTTGAATTTTTGTGCTATTCGATACGCGCGCGTTCTTTGTAAAATCTCGTGGGTGAGTGAGAATATCGAGCAGAGTTTTGTTACCTAAAAAGGAGGACAGGGAATAGGGTCATGGAAAGGCAGCATTGTTTGCCAAGCCAAGATTGACAGTAGTACCAACCAAAGACACGGTTTCTGCTGATATTCCTTATGCAAGTATATAATTTCTTGTATTTTCAGTTTATCTTTGTTCGCACGTCTTATGATTCCATGAAGAATAGATCTAGGTTGCCAATGAATATGTTATCATAAGTTTATATAGAAAACGTTCGATGATTAACAAGCTAACAAGATTCTCTTTGTCGTTGATGTTCTCCTTCGCTCTATATAAAATTTAATGTCAATTCTTTCCTGTACAAATTATATGTAAAATCTTAAACCGTCGTGTTAAGAATAGGTTAACTTGTATCGAGACAAACAATGTTTAGGAACGCGCTAACTTGATATTATTAACATTTTTTTTTTTTTGACAAACTTTAAAAGTATAACCTCTTTCTCTAATGTATTTAACACGTATTGTTTTATTAGTCGAGTATAACATTTATGCTAATTGACTGCAACAATTTCATAAGATTTTTATTTTAGAAATGTTTCAGAAATATTTTCAAGATACAGAATACAGAAACCGATTGTACGTTCTTTAACATTTTTATGTTTCAGATCATGTTTGAATGTGTAAATATCTTAATTACTGTACCAGTTGAGAGAACTTGGACATATTCTTCAAATTATTTTGAATAGAAAATTGATAAGTGTATCTTGAGATTACGGCTTTCATCGAAATTTTATTTAGAAAATTGTAGGTTCGCTTCTTATTGCGTTTAATGATATATATATATCTTGTATCAAATTTCTGTACACTACACAAAGTGCGTTATCAGTAGTTGCTACATACCGCGATGATTTCTCTTGTATTGTTCTATTTTCTTTTTATTGTAAGTTATTCTGAGGTTTTAATTTATATTCTCTTTTTTATTAAGCTAACAAATAATTTAAAAGACGAAATTGTTGATAGTATAACAAAGAAAAACATAAACTGAGAAGATCTTAAGATAAATAAGGAATAAATAAATGGCAAGAGTATGCGCCAACATTATGCGATTTAATTCATCAAATTTTTTATATTCATGTAATTTACAGTTTAAATAAAACTTTTTAAAATATAATCTACTGTTCCCTCTATTTTCTAATCTTACCATTTAATGTAATACTTCAAAAATAATTGTTACACAATAGTTTTGTGTCTTAATTAAATTCACTGCTTCAATGTCTTCTTTTTAATTTAGTATTGTAATAACTTAAAGTCTATATTTCAATATGTGGAACATATTTGCTTTAAAAATTGATTACATGCTTTTGCTTATTTTGTGTTATATTCGATTCATGAAGTATTACAAGAGTAACTATTAAGAATAAGTAACAAACTTATGAATGCATTAGTTATATACATTCTATTTGATATTTAAGTAAAAAGGATTCTGTGTTGCAAGTTATTTTCAACAATCTGTATTTTATGTTCAATAAATAATTTGTTTATTTAAAACTATTATGTTACAACAACTTTACTCATGGCGCAATACAGTGCAATTGATGAAAGAAATACGTTTGTTTTAAATAAATCCTAATAAGTAGCGATAATGATGATGTACGTGTAATAAAATAGCACAAAAATTCTTTGAAGTTTGAATTAATGATGTAGTCGCTTATCTGTAAAAAGGATATTGTCATGTTACTAGGTAATACATTGTTTATTTGACATTTTCCTTAACTAGTCAATCACAGATCACAGTTATGTATCAACACAGCAATAGTGTACATGCACAGGTTCTACGTATTCCATTCGCTGTCACACTTCCACAGGAATGCAATTGCCGCGGCAGCACTATTTTTAGCAGCAAAAGTCGAAGAACAACCGCGCAAGTTAGAACATGTTATCAAAATGGCACATATGTGTCTCCACAGAGATCAGCCCCCACCTGACATCAGGTCTGAGGTAAGATCAAAACCATCAGAAAAGTAATCTTTTTCTACTTGTTGATAACTATAGTTATTACTGAAATATCTGTTGATTTGTAGCAATATCTTGAGCAAGCTCAGGATCTGGTTTTCAATGAAAATGTCCTACTACAAACATTGGGGTTTGATGTCGCCATTGATCATCCCCACACACATGTTGTTAGATGTTGTCAACTGGTTAAAGGTATGTATATTGAAATTTGTATTGTTTTTAACAATACTTCCGTTGAGATATACCAGATTTTGTATAAAGTATATTCCAATTACGTTTAACAGTTTAAGAAACATAAGTAGTACCAAAAGTTTAGGTAATACAGTAGTGCTCAAATATATGCAGAAAGTTAGGATTGGAGTTTTCCATCTGTCCGAGATGGAGAAACGAAATTTTACTCAACCACGCAAAAATCGTCCGCTGAAAAATATAAAATACACTTGTTTAACAAGTTTAAAAACCGCACCGCATTCTCATCGCCATTTCTTTCTTGGTCATTGTTCAATTCTTTCACAATTGGCTCACTTTTGTCTTCTTCCATGTATTCAATAATTTCTCCTTCCAAAATTGCGTTCAGTGGATTATTGGAAAAATTCCATTTTTGATATTTCATTTCAACAGTATTTCTACTTATATGTATTACTTTTTTGTAGTAATAAAATTCAATTCTTCAGTGTACTATTCGTTCGTGCAAAAGTTGTTTGGTAAGATGGGCTATCATCATGTAGTACTAATTGTTTTCTTGTGGGTGGAGTGGTGAAGGTAATCTGAAGGTCAATCTAATTTTTTTAAACAAGACACCCTGTATATATTTTTCTTCTGACATTGACGGATTTTACATTATATTATCTAATAGACAAATCGACTTAATCTTATCTTAATCATATTATGTTCCAAATATTGATGATCCAATTATCAAATGTTTGGATCGAATCGTAACAGTAAAAAAAGATAAATATAATACTAGTAAAAAAATTCAAGGAATGAAATACGTTATCGAGTTCATTCGACACAGGATCGCAAGGGATAATTATGTTAATCACCTCCACGCGGTAGTTCTACGTTCTTGCATTATTATACGTATATATATTCTTATTCTGTGTGTGTGAGTGGTTTGTATAATGGATTAATATCCCAAGTGAGAAACAATCTGACAGTTTATATAAGGTAAAAAATCTAATTATTATTATCTAAACAATCAATTCTGGCAATGTTTTATTTATCTATCAAGAACATAGGTTTTTCTTCTTATTTGATGTTAGTCAATATCTTTATATGTAAGAAACGAAATATTGCGATTTACAGTATCTCTATCCTCATTTACTCAACCGATGAAATACCATCAAGATTAAAGTTAATTATGGCAAGAATATTTATCGAAAACTTTGAATCTTTACACAGGCTACAACGTGGGTGATTGTAACTCCAAAATGCGTGAAATGGTTGTACCAGTGTCACTGAAAACATTAAATAAAAAATCTAGACAATCGTTGTATTACGTTTGCATATGCAGCCGGGCATTACTGTATTACTTAAAAATATAAAATTCTATTAAAGTCTTGGCATTCTTTTTACAGCGAGCAAGGACTTAGCCCAGACTTCATACTTCATGGCATCTAACAGGTGGCTACACATTATTTCCTAGTATCTCTTACTCTTAGCAGTCTTCTGGTCAAATAGATGCCAGCTGGAGCATATTTCCAAGCTAAGACTGTCAGGCAATAGCCACTGGCGCAACATTCTGACCTATTTTCATATCAGAAAGCAAAGTAAACATGGAACACAATTGCGAAGAAAAGATCATTTTATGTGGTTTTTTGCATGGAAAAGTGTAAATTTAGTAAATGGTTTCCGTAAGTTGGAGAAATTTTGAAAATTATCATATCTCAGAAGCATGAATATAACGAGATATAAGATTCAATTCGGTACATAAAGGTTTACTTTGATTTCACACATTTTCTCAGTTCTAATGCGAATGTTTAAATGTTAACAGTAACTTTTTGGGAGGAATGTTGCGTTGCAGTCGCGGTAATGTCTGATTCTAAAGAGAACGTATGCCAAAGCGAAACGAAGTTTATTTCATAAACTAAGTTCACGATGAGGATTGCTTAATCGAAGGTAAATGAAATATTCTTAAGGACTGATCGTTTTCTCTTACATTACGGTATATTGTCCAGTTTTTATTTTTACATTTACAAACACTTATCGTTAAAACGTAGATGCACAAAACGAATTAAGAGTGAATGAAATGAATGCGAAAACAGCGAAACAACGAGCGAATGTACAGAAATATTTAATAACAAAAAAAGAGAATAAATGGACATATCATTCAAATTTATTTCCATTGCTAGTCCAGTATGATATATGGTCGTAGTTGAATGGAAATTAATTCAAATATTGTTTGATAATCTGAAACATGAATTGATCAGAAACGCTGATTGGCGTTAGACGATCGTTCGTTGATGATCGAATAATATTTGAACGGATCATAATTATGACTGAACAAATAGTGTAGATCAAGCCTTAATCTATCTCTGTTGTTGTAAAAACGTTTTGGGATTCTTACACTCAAAGAAAAATTCTATAAATTTATAATTAAAACGATTTTTTTTACTTAAAAACAATACGTTCTCTCGAGTACATCGAATATCAGTGTTTAGTAATAATTCCAGTAATTTTAGTTTTCTGTTCTACAGTTTATGTGTAGTATAACATTATGGTAGTATTATTCGCTTTATCATGGGATTATGTTGGGGCAAACTTCGGTAAATTTGTTACGATACAACAGAGTGTTGTAGGGCTTACATTCACGATTATTATGTACAAAGAATATCGTCTATAAATTCATTTACATGAAATAAAAATTTATACGGTAAAAATTTTTGTGTAGCTCATCGCGAAAAATGTGTTACATTAACATGTGCTGTCTTCTTTTTTTTTTACATACATATGAAAATTTGTCATTGTTTTGGAAACGTACTCTTTGGAATTAAATTTTATTTACAAACGAAAGTTATAGTTGGAAATGATGTAATTAAACATCTTAAACGAATCGTAAGAAATTCGTCCTAGTTTTATCCCGATATTACCCATGTTTAATGGAACTTGTACTTTCTTTTTTATAGTACAGTTCTTTTTTACACTCTGGGTTATATATTTTGTTAACAAACAACGGTTAAAAATGTTATTATACTCATGTCAATTTATAGAGTAATTTTTTCTTTTTAGTTTACATTTGACAACGATGTGTCTGCAGTACAAGCCAACGGTAGTTGCCTGTTTCTGCATACATCTTGCGTGCAAATGGTCCAATTGGGAGGTATATATCATCAATAACTGTTTCTATAAAATTCTCCGCGAAACAGAAAGACGATCTTCTCATTTAACTCCATAACGCACGACTTTTGTTCATTTTACAGTATAAAGTAAAGAAATATCAAGGTTTCGATGCGTCAAGGGGTTAAATATATTTCTAGTTAAGGCAAACAATTTACTAATACTAATATTATTACTGTTTGTACACAGATACCGCAGAGTACAGAAGGGAAGCATTGGTTCTGGTATGTCGATAGGACCGTAACTTCTGAACTTTTACAAGAGCTTACAGCAGAATTCCTTCATATATTTGATAAATGCCCATCGAGATTAAAGAGAAAAATCATGAGCATATCCGCCAATCAAAGCCCCAGCATCAATCATCCTAGTTTACCGAATTCACCATTTGTGAGTATTGTTGTCTGTGCGTTAAATTTTGAATAGCATAAAGTAAATAAATAAATTTTTAGACAATTGTATTATATTATCACGCGTCGATCAAAGCGTTTATAGAATTTACGGGAAGATTTTGTTCTATTTTTCTGCAGGATGCCGAGCCGCGTAAAGTACAGTCTCCCGCGACAACGGCCGACGGTGGACCTACGTTTCATACGAGTCGACCTCATCATACGGAGAAACAAGAAGAAAAGAAACAAATTCCACCCGCGTCCACAAGGCCGCCGGTCGATTACCGAGAGTATCGCGAAAAGAAAGAACGCGAACGTTTAGAAAGGGAAAAGGCAGCTGCTCCAACGGCAGTCGTGCAATCTCACGTGTCGGACATAAATAAGCATCATTCGCATCATCATAAACCTGTATCTAGTACAAACGTGCTGAACAAACATCCGTTACCGCCTGGACAGAAGACGCTTCATCATAATCATCACCACAGGCCAGAAGTGAAAGTTGGACAACCGGTACCGCAGAGGCACTCGAGTAGTAATCAAGCTAGGGAACCAAATCGCGATCCTAACAGGCAGAGGTTACAAAGGGAATATAATTCGAGTACTGGCACGAGTAGCAGCAGTACAATACATTCGCACAGTCACGTGGCGCCAAAGGAATCCAATTCGGACAATTTGCTGACGGATTCCGTTGCACACAGATCGGACGTCGGTGCGCTACAAGAGCCAATGCCCCATGGAAACATGCAAGAGAAACTTAGTAATAATAATCATAGCGTGCATAGATTAAGCGGAGTAGAGAATAAGCATCAGGGTCACGATAAGAGAATGTACGATCCGAGGCATAAGCCTGTAGAGCATAGAAAGGATAGCGAGCAAAAACCGTACAAGTATCCGGACCCTTCGAGAGTCGATCGACAGAGGAAGTCCGATACATTGGAACAGAGGTGCGAGGAGGTGAGGAAGCTCATAGAGAAACCGTTACCTCTACCGAAACCCGCCCTCGATGTACCCTATGTTTCGAACATGCAGAAACCGCCACATCACACTAAATATCCTCAGCCAGAGAAATTACAAGCTGGCGCCGGTGTGGTCTCGGTTGACGCGAAACTAACCACCGGCCAGGGTTCGTTCTCGCAGGAGAAATCACCGAACTCCTCCGGTTCGATCTCGTTGCTCGTTCAAAAGGCCGTCGCCACCAAGACGATGTCGAGCCAACACACCGCTCACGGCGTGTCGCAAATATTGAAAGACACGATCAAGAACGGCAGTTCTCAGGCGTCGAGTTTAGCGTCGTTGAACAATCTCGACGATCCGAAGACCGAGAAGCGACCGCGGCATGACGACACGGAGAAAAATTCATCCGACGTTCAGGCGAGCGTGTTGCAAACGCCCCCCGGCAAGCACAAATCGTTGTTCAGCCCGGAGAAAGTGCCGACGCCTCGGGAATCCCACTCGCAGAGGCCTAAGTCTAAGCAAAAGACGCCGCCCTCGGCAGCAAAAGTTCCTAAACAAGAACGCGTACCGGATACGTCGATAGGTTTTAATTTAGTATCGCCGTTCGCGAGCCCGCCGGGCCTGCAGCCGCAGGACCAGGCGCCGGTTAAACGATCGTCCAACGACGTCTCCACGACGTCTCACAAGAGACATCGCACGGGCAGCGCCAGCGAAACCGCGCAGCCAGTCAAAGTGAAAATCGAGGACACGTCCAGCTTCGAGGCCGTTAAAATGCTCGGTAGGGTACCAGAACTGATACAACCGATTAGAGATAATCCGTCGTCGAATGGCAGAGCCACGCAAATTGCGAACGACATGAAACCGCCGGAACTCATAAAACCGTTCGATTCGGAACCGACGATGGCACGCTTCGTCACGACGCAGCAACAAGTCTTGTCGAATCAGCAGAATCTGACGAACGGTTTAGACACGAATTTAGTGAAACAAGATCCTCAGGAATTCCAAATGAAGAAAGAACCTTACAAGACGGACGCGGCAAAAAGGGTGGATCACCAACAGCTGAAAGGGGAATACTTGTCGCCGATGAAGTCCGCTCAAAGTATAAGTGCTTTGCTTCAGGAACCGTTGGCAGCGATGCCGTCTTTGCTCCAAGGTGTGCAGTCGTTCAATCAAATAGCAACGCAGCAGACGAGTCAGGAGCAATTTCAACATCATCTGCAACAACAACAACAACAGCATCAATCCATATCTCATTCAATATTGCTTTCAGACCACCAGATTCCTATACAAAATCAATGCCTCTCCTTACCAACGGTCAGCGAGCCAGCGATAGCTTCGACCGTCGACATAAGCGTGCTCTCCGTTCCTGTACAAATTAGCGCCGAGTCCATACTTTCCGTGCCAACGTCGACGACGATAACGGTTCCCGCGCCCGCGGAGGAGAAGCGTTCCGAGCATCACAAGAGCGAGAAGAAAAAGAAAAAGGAGAAGCACAAGCACAAAGATAAAGATAAGATCAAGGAGAAACACAAGAGCAAACACAAAGACAAAGACAAGGAGAAGCATCGAGAGAAGGACAAGGAGAAAGGGGACGAGATCGTGTCCACGGTACCGATCAAGATCACGATACCCAAAGACAAATTGAACCTGAGCACAGAATCAACAACGGGCAGCGGCGCGGCGACGACCGACAAGAACAAGTCGCCCCAGAACACCAGCATCAAGATCATTATACCGAAAGAACGGTTGAAAGGCACGGACAGCGTGACGAATTCGCCCGGCCAGCCCGTGGTCCAGGGCTCGTTGAAGATCAAGATCCGCACGGACGCGATCTCGCGGAGTTCCGGGGCCTCGTCTACGACGAACAGCTCGAGCGCCATCTACCCGGAATTTCAAAACGAGAGCCGCAAGCGCGAGCGTATCGACATGAAGGAGAGCCCAACGACCAGTGTACCACCGACGAAGAAGCAATCGCAGATGTCGCAGGGCTACGGACAACACCGACCGGGCGAACGGCAGAATGGCAGGCACTATAGTTCAAGCAGCAATAACAAGGTACGTGGAGGCGGTAGAGGCGGCCGCCAGTATATCGGGCGTGGTCCACCACCAGCAGGATCGGCGGGCCATTACGGTGCTCCCAGCCAGCGCGACGGCTACTATCAGCAAGACACCTACAATAGTAACAATGCTCGTAATACCCATCATCCTCATCCAAACTCCGGGCGCGGCGACTCAGGGTACTCGAGGACCTGTCACGTTGGTCAGTCACAAGCAGACTCGTACTTCTTCGCCAATTACCCACCGCCCTCGATGTACAATCCCGCCGGATACATCTACGATCCTGTCATGTACTATTCCCAATACCAGCAGCAGTACTCGATGTATCCGGCGGGTAACGTCATCATGACGCCGGACGGCGCCATCGATACGTCTGTGCCGCCGCCATCCTTACCGCCGAACATGCGACAGAGTCAAACAATGATGCCAGTCGCGTCAGCTCGGCACGAATCCAAAACACCGCCGCCGTTGCCGAGCGGACCACCTCCTAGTTCCTCGCCACCCCCGCCGCCGCCACCGGAATAACATTCGTACGGAAATCCTGTCTTGTAGTGGACTTTCAGAGGTTGTTTCCAACATAGCACCTAACGAATCACAGCGATCCCCGCTCACACGCGTCTCTAATCGGTTACAGAAGTTCGAACAAGCCACGGGGAAACTATTCTGATAACACAGGTCAATATATATGTAGGATCAAGCCGGTTAAAAGAGCAACGATTATCACGAATTTTATCCAACAAAGTTTATTACACAAAATGATCGTTTCACACGCCCAAGCTCACTCCGCATTAATCACTCGCTTCAATTGCTCTGCCCCCCTTCACCTAATCTCTCATACACACACACACCCTGAGACAAAACCTGCACGCATTCTGCATTCGTCTTCGCAACCTGGCAATCGATTGATTTATTTAACTGGTTCCGACTTCAGACATAGCAATCGATTGACACCTCGCGTACTTACACAACAACACACTCACATTCACCCCCCGCATATATATTCTTTATCCAAGCAATCGATTCTAGTTTCTGTTATGACTCTGATTATGAGAACGAAAGTTAAAATATTGGTTCTAGCTTTTTTTTAAAACCAGGTACTTTATACCTGCAGAATTACAATTGAATCACTCCATTATCACCAGAATCGTTTTTGCCAACTTTTATATTCTATATCCGGCAGCCTTTTATATGATCTATAATTTTAATAGACTATCGCTGGATACTAAACGCAAACGACGTTAATAATATGGTATTTTCAGCTCTTATTTTTATAAATTTGTAATTTTATAATATGATGGGTTAACAAAGTCATACAAATCCACATAATTTTATTAGTTTTGTATAAAAAATTTAGAAAAAAAGTATGCTTTATTTTAACGTACGCATATTTTAATCTAATACGCTTGAATTAAATAAATCATGCTTTAGATTTTTCAAACCAGAGCCAAATAATTCTATTTTCTGTTATTTCTTATCACAATATATATAAATAAATAGGTAGATAGCTCAATCGTAAAGAATATCAACTATTGTTTACAATTTGTTGACCTGTGTACCATCGTTACAAAAAAGTTTAAAATAATTTTCAAAGTTTTCTAAGTTTATGTCCCGTTTGTAAATTTATTCGTAAATTAGAAATCATTAAATGATTTTCTAAACCAATATTATATAAAAAAAACTTGATTCACGAGCGAATCTAAAATCTTTATTAATTATTCTTCGCGAGAATATTACCAACGGTCTGACAAGTGTTTTTCGACGAAAATGAGTCCAAACACGACCTTGTTTGAATTATTTTTAATTACACAAACTTCGAAGGGTTTCGGAGACGATTCGAATATCGTAGAGGTTCTCAAACATTATTTGTTTTCGGTGCATTTGCTGTCTCAGGAATATATCACAGCACCTCTATGCCAGGAGAAATACCTAACAGTTCCGTTTATTAAATAGTTAGTCTAAACAACTTAATAAGTTAAGTTTAATTATTAAATAGTTAAGTTTAACAGTTTATTAATATTCAATAAGTATTTATTGTTAGAGAACAGGAGATCATAGTATTTAACAAAAGTTTTTCAATATTTATGGGTGTTTCCTTTGAATATTTGAAATATCTCGCAACACTCAGTTTGAGAACCATCATAACAACATGTAGTTACAAGTAGTTCGAATAAGGTTGTATTTGGAGTAATTTTCGTCGATAAAATGTCGTCGATCCTTTAATATTACTCTTACGAAGAAACAATTACGAAAATTTTAATTCAGACGGTTACGTTTAAATTTCGCGCGCTGAAAGTAGAATAAAGAAAACACCGTTGTGGACGATTCTGTTTCATCCAAGCGGGGAAAAAATCAGTTGCACGTAAGCGGGGATTTCTGTACAGCCACTTCTCGGTCCATTGTTTCTCCTTTGTCGTCTGTCTCTTTTCTTTCGCATTTGTTAATAACTACCAGTATGTTCGCATCGTCGTGCAATACCGTTTTTTTTCTTTTCTTCTTTTTTTGGACGCTTGAAAAATAACAGACTTTGCCCTGGTATTCGTCAATATCGATATGTACTAAACCATCCTCTCGATGTTTTGCTCGGAGATTCTCTTTCGTGCGAGAATATCTAAATGGAGAGAAAAAAAAGTAGAAATGCGGTATGTAACTTTTTTTTACGATCTACAGAGAAGGAGGAAGGGCAACAGTAACACGGAAAACGGAAAAACCGAAGTGGCTGAGACCATACTTTTCACCTCACCTCTATCCCCCCATCTTTCCCTCTCCAGTTTGTGAATGGTAGAAGTAGCAGCATGACGTACGATCTCTATCCCCTAGTGTTTACAAATTACCATTTCGATCTTTCTACCTTTGTACCTGTAGCGCATCTCCTTAGAGTAGTTAATGAGTGTGAGCCTTTGTTTCAAGAATCAAACCGCGAGATCCTCGGCGATCTTGGAAAAGGAAAAAAATATTATATAAAAAGAAGCAACCGCGCTACGAAGTACAATTCGTAGGAAGATAACGGAATACAGATCGCTTTGATTAACCTGCAAAGGCTAAAGAAGTTCTTCTTTAACGAATTAAGAATTATTATAGTTTGAAATACTTTCAGGGTAGATCCTTAAATTTAAAGGAATCCTTTCGCGGGCAACGTTTTTCTTTCCTTCCGTTTGGAGCCGCGAACGAATTGCGTATTTCTAAAACGCGCGCGAACTCGTAACGTAAAATGGCGCCGTTGCTAAAAGAAGGGAGGAAATGTCGAGATACACGTAACGCACCACTGCCAGTTAAATAGACAGAATGGTAACTATGTTTTTTGCGCTTACGGTCGAACTTCGATAAATTTTAATTAACGAGTGCTCAATGGAGAACAAAAGTGAATCGGTTCGAGTTTCTTTCTCTTCTTCGCATATTTTACGGTAACGGGAAACCGAGATGCTAACCTGCGAAGAGCCACTTCGACGACGGAACGAAGCTCGTTCGCATAAAAAATTCCTTTGCTGGCAAAGGGTTTCGGAATAATGGGTGGCGTGCGGAGCGTTATGTTTATATGAAATCAAGAATTTCAAACGGGTTTAACGACTGAAAATAAACGAAAAGAAAAAAAAGAAGAAAAACTTACAAAGTTACTTAAACGAAAAAAAAACAATGTATGGTATGCAGCGTAGTAGAGCCGTTCGAGGTCTCGAATTTTCGAGACGAGACTCGAATAGAAACCGGGATCTCGCGTTTCCGTTTTTAGGTTTTCGGTAGCTCTCGGGTACAGTCGGGATATGCCGATAAAAATCTAAATCTACCTAACCTAAATCAAGGATTTAGGTTATGATTTCCATTAGCGCTCAAGCGACTCGATAAGGTGGGGGAAATTCTTATCTAGATAGAAATATCGAGTAACAAATAAAAGACAAATAACTGTTTATCCATTACTCGTTAAATAAGTATCAACCCTTTGCACTTCAAGAATTTTCTATTTCTGAAAATTGGAAGTGTTCTTGTTTCTCTCAATTTAGAGTTTGTACCAAATTATGACGCATGTTACGCATACGTCACCGTAGCAGCGCAAAAGAGTAATGTGTTAATTATGGCATTAAAGATTTAATGCCGAACAGATAACTACATGAGTTACAAACACAAATTTTATAGTCCCGCCAAGCGATACGATAAAACTTACCATTCATATTCTAGTGATTTTTGGCGGAGTGCATCGTAGAAAAGATGTTATAAAAAAATACGTTATTATAAACGTTAAAAGTTAATATAAACATTGCTTGAGCGCTAATTGCGATCACGCTTTACAACGCATTCAGATCAGCTGCGCATCCTTTCGAAGAATCCGACAGATCCCGATCATATCCGAGCGTTGCCGAAAATCTGAGGAGCTCGCTTATTCCGAGCGACTCGAATCAGTCGGGATCTCGACTTCCGTCGAACACTCGTCTCGTGTTAGTTCTCGGGCCGGCTCTATAGTAAAATGGTGACAATGCTCAAAGCATATAAGCGTAATACAAATGTGAATCCGAAAGTGTTTACGTGTTTGTAAAGATATATATATATATATGTAATTTTGTTAAATTTAACACGTTATATCACTTTATCAATATTTTATACACGAATTAAATATATTAGCAAAATTCGTTCCAGTTAACCCTTTGCTGTTCGATGTTGTTTCTCGCGGCATATGTTACGTTTTAATTATGCTACTAACACGAATTTAACGCGACGTTGCATCTTTTAAAGAGAGATAGAATTCTAATAAAAATAGCGGGAATATTCTCGTCGCGGGACTACGAAGTGAACGCAAAGGGTTACTCTCACGATATTTTTTTTCTGTGTAAAACGTGAAGTTTGCACTGTGTCGATTGACAGTTCAAAATATTGGATGCGATTGTCTTCGATTCTTTGTTTCATCGGCATAGAATTACGTAGAACAACTGTACAGGAAGAAAATAGTGAAGGCAATTGGCATTGGAACGACCGCGAGAATCATTGTATACAAACTTTAACACGACTGAAGC